AAACTCCCAAAATAGAAAATAAGATTCCAAAGTCTGATCTTTTAAACTGAGGTTTTAAAAAAATATTCATATTTGTTTGCTCTCTCTTTCCTTGCTTGCCTGTTTCCACTCTGGAGAAGCTTCTTTTCTTTCTCAAACTTAGTTCTCCCTTGTTCTTTCTAAATAAGTTTCAACAAACACTTTCTTGCTTCACCAGAAAAGAATACTTTTGTATTTTGTATCTTGTAATTTTGTAAAATTACATTTTGTAAAAGTTAAAATTCCATTTTGTAAAAGTTAAGGCAAAAAAAATGGCAAAGCCTCCAAAATATTGAAAAGTGATAATATGTAATTTCAATTAAAAAATAATATATTCATATTTGTAATGGCATATCTTAATATGCATGAGAATACTGCATTGTGTGTACTACTGGAATACAATAAGACAAGAGAAGTTTATTTTGAATTAAAAAACTATGAAAATGGGTTTTAAATGAGTACTATAAATGCTGGAGCTTCAGCACAGCAGGTAGGGCATGGCATTTGCCTTGCAAGCAGCCCCCACAGCCGACCGAGTTCGACTCCTCTGCCCCTCTCGGAGGGACCGGCAAGCTATCGAGAGTATCTCACCCACATGGCAAAGTCTGGCAAACTATCTGTGACGTATTTGATATGCCAAACACAGTAACAAGTCTCACGATGGAGATGTTACTGTGCCCGCTCGAGCAAATCAATGAACAACAGGAGGAGAGTGCTACAGTACTACTATAAATGCTGACAATTGTAACTTGCAGATGTTAAATTTTCTGAAAATCCATGCTCCAAAAAGATAATACGCTCTTTAACATATTAAGGATACATGTGTAGATCAAGTTAATAAACATTAACCAAATTTTAAGATCTACCAATGGATACAGCCAAATAACATTCCACAGGTAGCAAATATTAATTTGCTCATTCCTGACAGACCTCAAACAGACCCTGTATTCATCACACCTTGGTCTTCTAGTAAAACACTTGAAAGTACAAGCCATTTAGAATCACTAATAATCCTGAACACTCTCCTTTCAGCCCCCAAAAGACTATGGTAACAATGTAATACTCGAACAGTGAGTGTCTTCATACATGCCAAATAAAATAACCCTGGGTATTATTATCTAAAATATATCTTTTGGGTATTTGTGGATTGAAATAAAAGACAGACTGTGATCATCATGCTAAAATCATTGTTTAGAAAGGTCATTTATGTCTTGAAAGGAAATTAAAAAAAAAAAGTACTGTGTTCTCAAAGTGATACGGACTATGGATACTCTGTCTTGGAAAGGAACTCTGGGTGAAAAAACAACTAAAAGATGGTTCCCAGGGAAGCTGATCATCCTGTGACAGAATAGAGGTTTTATCTACAAAATAGATGGATGTTCCCACACTACAAATTATCCCAAGCAATGGTGTAAGAACTAGGTATCAGCTTGATATTTTTCAAAACACTCACCAGTCTGGAAAATAGTCCAGCAAAGAACTTTCCAAATAAAAAGATTCAGCTTTCCAAATAAAGAGAGTGTGACTGTTCTAGTTCCGTATCCTGCATGGAAATCTTTCCCAGAGTTTCAGCCCCAGAGGTGCTACTGAAAACAATCTTTCCTGAGCTACATAAACATCAATCCTTGCTCTTCATTTACGCAAATGAAATATGTCTTTATTTCACGCAAATAACCCCAATATGTCTTTAGTAATTCTTGAACTACTTTTACTACTGTGTGTTCTGTACCAAGCTAAACACATATAATCCCATAGCCAATCCCATGAGTCAATTATCATTCCCATTTTACAGATGAAGGAAAGGATGTAAATAGTACACAAGGACTAATACAGGGCACTCTCCAAGGTAAGGAGAGAGTGTAATTCTACTTCAGAGCACTCTCCGATTAGCTTTCTCTTTGCCACTGTGAAATATGAACCCAAGCAATCGCCTGTTTTCCTCAAATAGCCTTAAACTTGGGTCAAACACAGTGTCCTTCACTTTTTCCAATATCTCACAGGACTTTAGCAGAGGGTAAAGTTAAGAGCTCGAGGGAAGGAGTCACAGAGAAAGACTAGAGCATTTTTCCTACTCGGTCTACAAAATGCTCCGTTGAGATTATCTGTTGTGGATAATGTTTTTTTAAGGAAGGGATGTGCTTGTAGCTATACCAGTGGTATAGGCAGTGCCACTCCAGATGATCAATTTTCAGCCAACCAGGTTTATTGCTAAGGCACAAGGATGCAATACGCTTGAGTCCTGCGGTACCAGGACCACCGGGGTCTGCCCTGGCAGTGCTCAAGGTGCCTCCAGGGCGATGCCCCATGATGCTCCTCTAGAGGCAATGAGGTGGTGGGAGAGATCCAGTTGGGCTCCTGCCCCTGTATTTCCCCACCCACCTCCATACAAAGGTGCAGTAGCCAAATGCAGAAGATTCCAGAAAGGAAATTCTTCAGAGGAAGTAGGTCCTCATCTGCAATCTGGATTATAGTCAGAGTAGCAAAACTCTTTTTTTAGACTCTAGCTTCTTTTACTTTTATATTTTATTAATCCCCTCTCAAAATCTTGCCAAGAATGTTACTTTTATTACTTTTGCTAGTAATAGTGCATACTGTGTTTTTACTAAGTGAATGAATGTGAAAATGAAACAAATAGAAGGTACACTTCTTTCCATTGCAAGCGTGGTATTAAAACCTGAGGCACAGACCCATATCACTGTGTAGAAAAACTGCAGTGAAGAAAGCGGAGTGCCTCCCAGAGCTCACTCTTAATTACAAAGATCCACAAAGAGAGCAATAGAGATATTGGAAGAAAAAAGGCATTTGAAAGAATTAGCATAAAATTCACTTATTTTACTCTTAGTTACTACTCTAGTCTTTCACTACTTTCAAGGCATTATAAGTAAAAGAATACTAGCAACAAGAAACACTCCTGAGATCACTATCAAGTAATGTAAATACTAAAACTCATATAGGCGGCTGCAATTCTGCATCAAGGTGTTGATAATACTCTTCTATAGAATGCTTCTGCCACATGCTGAGGAGTGAGCCAAGGGTTGGAACTTCATTCCTATCAAAGGGAGGGGGGGCAGGGAGGGGGCCCATCATTCCTAACATTAAATACTTCCCCCAAACTGATTCAGATGACTAGCTCTATTAGCTCCTCATGAAATCAGCACTCAATCACTTTGGAAGGTAATTCTCTTCATCTTAACTTCTCTTTTACATTCCCATAAAATGCAAAGCGCATATTGCACTACTGGCATATAGTAATTTAAACGAAAAGGGAAAAATCAATAACACGCTCTCCAGCATAGTTTCTCACTGGCAGCTTCATTGTATCTGCCATCAATTTCACACCCGCCCAACGATACTCCTTCAAACATCGAACACTGATATCCTACAAAGATTAAGTTTCTTTGGTTTTGAAAAGAAGAGTTTTGGTAGGACAGATACAGGTATCTGAACACTGCATTTCTGATGGAAACTTACACTATTCAACTTTCTACCTTCCTCAAATAGGAACACAGTAAATATCAGAGGCAGGGCTCTACCCCTCACATGAATAAACTTTCTCAGCATCAATATATGCAAAAAAGGAAAACTGACATATTTATGTATGTGTATATGTGTATACTTATATATAAACACGATGTTTAAATATAAGCAAAAGAAAGCAAAATAAAATATATTTTGGGGGGGGATGTGACAAGCAAGGCAGATTTTAAACTGTTGGTGAAAAGGACGCTAATTCAGCTTTCTCATCGCTGCAAATCAAACACAGAACTCTACAGTGTATTTCTGTTCGAACATTCTCCACTCTTCCCTTCCCCTGGATGAGACGAGGTAAGGGTCTCTGCTAAAGACTCTAAAGCAGCTCAAGCTTTTAAACGGCTATTTTTACAGGACTATGAGTATAACCTCATTACTCGAAAAACTGTCTATCCACCGTCCTCCTTTAGAAGTTAACCCGTTATTAACAAAAGTACACATCTTACTTATCTATTTCATACTTTCCCAGATCAGTGTGCCCTGGAGTCTTGGGTACTGACCGGAACAGCGTATAAGTGATGCTAGGCTGCGCCCCGCATTAAAGTTTAGTGTTTGCCTTTGAAGCAGGCAGTGACAAAACTAAGGACACACGGGTTGCATTCCAAGCCCAATATTAGGCGGGTGGTTTAAAAATATCAATCCAAAGAGGCCTAGGGAGAAAGGAGAACAAGAGTCCACTGGCAACACCCTTCCTCGCCCTCCCTTCTTCCTCTCTTGTTCTGTCTCTCCTCTTCTTTCCTTGTGGCTTCTCACAATCAAAAAAGGGAAAGCCGAACGGGGAAACACACACACACACACACACACACACACACACACACACACACACACACACGGAGGATGCAATTTCCAGGGAGGTTTTACAAAAGGGGAAAAGAGCTGCTAAAGAGGGGCGTGAGGGGTGGCTGGCGTGATGTCTAAGTGACAACCGTCCCCACCCCCACCCCAACACAGCACAAACCCCGAGGCTCGTCCTCGACCCTGTCGCCTGCCCGTCCCCAGGACTCTACCTAACTCGACCCTCCATCCAAATAATTCAGGGACCTGCAGAGCTGCCACCGTGCACGAGTGTGTCTCTAGGCAGATGCGCCCAATTTCCTGGAAGCCCCCGGATCCGGAGAGTTGTAGCAGGCGAGGGTTCTCCCACCGAGGAGAGGGGTGAAGTGGGGGGGTAAAAGAGAGACCCCGCGCGCGAGAGATGCAGACCCGAGGCAAAGGATGAGCAAGCGGCTCAGAGGACGGCAGGGAAGAAAGAAAGGGTGGGAAGGAAGCGGGGCCCGGCAGAGAGGAAGAAAGGGATGAAAGAAAGGCTGGAAGGGAGAAAGGAGGGGTGCGGAGAGAGGGATGTTGGGAAGGAGGAGGGCGGGCGGGAGGGAGGGAGGCTGGAGAGGATGGGAGGGAGGCAGGGAGGAGGGAGGCAGGCAGGGATGGAGGATGCTCTGCCCGGGACTCACCTCTGCGGGTCGGTGGGAGTTTCTCGCCTCCTCCTGGTTCCTCGCCTCTGGCCGGCGCCGCTGGAGGGGGAATCGCGGGAGAGCCGGAGCGCGGCGGCGGCGGGGACGCGGGCACAGCTGCAGCGGCCGCCTCTGGCCGAGGTGCGGTGCCTCCCGCTCCGCCCGCCCGCCCGGGTCTCCGCCTCACTCGCGGCCGCCGCGCAGCCGCTCCCCCTCCCCCGCCCGCCCCGCGCCCAGCCCCGGCGAGCGGCAGCGGCCCGGATCGCCGCTAGGGGCGGCGGCCCAGTGCGCAGGCGCGGCCGCCGCTCGCCCGCGCGCCCCCGCGGCCGCCCCCCCACCCCCCGGGGGACTCTGGGCGCCGCACGGGGGCGGGGGCCGGGGGCGCGCTCCCGGCCGGGGATCGCCGCGCGGGGGGCGGGGCGCGCCGCCAGGGTGGGGGGAAGGGGACCCCGCGGAGGGGCGCCGCCGAAGGGCGCAGGTGCCGTGGCCATGGCAACCGCGTTCCCCGGCGGGCGGGGACCCGGGCTCCGAGTCGCGCGAGCACTGGGGGCCGAGCCCCGAGCGGGGAAGACTCGAGGCGGCCAGAGAGAGGGGAGAGTCGCCGCGGAGCCCACGGGGGTGATGTACGCGTGACCCGGGAGGGGCTCGGCCTGGAGGGGCGCCGGGACCCGGAGTCCCAAGGGGAGGAGGATTGCACTTTTTTGAAGGCCTAGAGAAGGAAGCGCATCAATCAGCTCATCGCGCACACCTTGGTTGGCGGCTGGTTTACGAATTCATAGGCTACTCCGGAGCCTTCCGTTTGCCTCGGTCACTCTAAGCGTTGTTTGTTTGTTTGCTTGTTTTTAATTTAAACGTTTAATAGCCGGCGTTTGCCCTCGCGGGGGTTGTGTTCAGTGGCGGGACTTACTCTGCCTTGCAGCGTCGGCCGTGGCGGACTGCTGTTGAAATGTAACTGTTGCAGAAGTGATGCTACCCCAGAAGGCGCAGAGTCCCAGCCAAGGCGCGAGCATGAAGTTACAGTTGTCTTTGTTCTGCTACTTGGTTTGAATCGAGAGAAAAATAAAGACAAAGGAAAAACCCCTGGCTCTCTGCTCTGACTCAAGTGATTCTGCATTTACAACCTGGTAGTGTCTGGTCTCCTCAGCCACCCACATGGGTGTGTTTATCCCGACATTTATAGGGTTTTACACCACAGTTCTTACACTCCTACGTTGGCTTTGTCAGCTAGGTTTTTCCCGTCTCGTCCCAAAGCTGGCATCTGCAACTGTTTGGAAATTAAATCAAATCCAAGTATCTTATGCTGACAATGACTTAACACTCTACTTCCGTCCATTTCTGTCATGGCTTAATGTCTTTTTTGCCGTTTTTCTTTACATATTAATTTACCAGTTTGGAAAAAGAACTGGGGTTGAGGGGAAGAAGTGATAAAAGTCACCAATTCTAGATTCAGGAAAAATCTCCTTGCCTTCGATGATGTTTCAGGACCACGGACAGTGATCGAGCACTCCCCCAGTGCGCCTTTTCCTAAGGCTGAGCTTATACAAACAGTAACTCTATAGAAGGTCTCTGATGTGCTTCCAGAAGTAAATGCGCTCTGAGCGCCAGGTGCCTTGTGCCAAGCTATATGAGCAGAGTGGAAAAAGACACGAGCATAGTGAGGACGGGGTAGAAATGAAGCAGACCCTTTAGCTAGACTTTAAAGAATTCCAAGATTTAGGCAGGCATTAGAGGGCCCTGCAGTGGTATGTGGGACCTAGTTTATCAGGGAGGTGCTTGAATAAGTAACTACTGCTGCAAATTGTAATTTGATTTTGGTTTCAGGTTTTTTTTTTGGGGGGGGGGGGAGGGTATTGCTGCTGGTGCTGCTCCCGTTGTTTTTCCTGGAGGAAAAGAACGTCCCTGGTTTTAAAGGACCCACGAATATAGAAGGGTGAAGTAGTCCCAACTAAGTCACAAAACATTGTCTCAAGGATTTAGTTTATTTTTATTTCCATGATTTCTTTCTGTTCTCAGGCTTGAAGAAATACAGGCCAAAGATTTGTCAAAAAAAATATTTCCTTAGTTTTGGAAGATTCATCGGTAGCTCTGTGCATTGTTTCAAATTGAGCTTGATTGTGTAGCTCTGGGCCTTGATTGGTGGCAGACAGACTGAGAAAAATGTACAAGAAACACTATCTTGTCTACTTGAAATTCCTTTGTTTTGGTTTTGCAGTGACTTTAAAAACTATCAGGATTATCAAAAGACCTTTAAAAGCCATTGATAAACTATTTGTAAGTTTCTTGTCCTCGGTGTTGCTTTAAATTGCCACTAATCTAGAGACCCCAGAGGTTGGTAGAGTGGTAGGGTGCTTGCCTTGCACAAGGCTGACCTTAGTTCAATCCTTAACAGCACATATGATTCCCAATCTCCACAAGAAGTGATCCATAAGCATACAAATAGTGGCAATTTGGCACGCATCTGGGTAGGTTTCCTCCCCCCCCCCAAAAAAAAATTACAGTTAATTTAAAGCCATACATTATTTTTCAGATCTTGGCATTCATTCTTCCTTTAAAATGCACCAAACGGTTGTCTGTCAATAATATGGTGACAGGAATTTATTCAGGCAAAGTGTGCAAGTAACTCGCAAGCAAATAAAACAGTTTTTTTGTAATTGTTGTTGTTATCTCCTCAAAAGAATGTACAAAGTTGGGGTTGAAGCGATAGCACACCGGGTACGGCATTTGCACGCGCCAACCCAGGTTCTATTCCCAGCATCCCATATGGTTCCCCGATCACCACCAGAAGTAACTCTTGAGTGCATGAGCCAGGAGTGACCCCTGTGCAACGCTGGGTGTGACCCAATAAAGCAAAAAGCAAAAACAAAAGGAAAAAGTAGTTTATATTTTGAAAAGAGAGAAACCTCCACCCCTACTCTGAGAACCACTCAAATTGAGTATTATTTTAGTCATGTTTATATATTTTAATAACAGTTTAAGCATCCTTACGTAAGTAATTGCTACCATTGAATACTAAAAAACTTAATTCATTTACTGTAATTTCAGATCAGGGGGAAAAATTAACATTGATTTTTGTTTTGAAACTGCTTGTACATTTTCTATATTTTCTTGATTTAATTGTTGTCTTTCATTTTAGTGACATAACCACATATAGTCCTCAGAAAAGAAACAATTTTCCCTTCCTCATTTATACCAAAGATTCATGTTAACATAACAAATAAAACAAAAATTTCGTGTGAAAATTTTGTTTAATTTTTAAAAATTTAACCTGAAATAATGAGGCATCTAGAATTTTAGAATAGAATCCAAACCAATACTGGTAATTCTAAGTAAAATTCTGCTGAGTGCTTGTGCATTTGAATTTAAAATAATTAGACACCAGAATCCTAAGTTTGTTTGTTTGGTCCTTAAACTTCTTCATCACATTCCCATGAAAATTTTATTTTTAATAGGTTCTATTTATTTCCTTAATTTTAATTGTACAGAAAAACTGAGTAGAAAGGACAGAGAATTCTGTTATATCCCTGATCCCAAAGAGGTAACCCCTTCTTCCACTATTGACATTATGTCACAGTGACACATTTGAAAAAATTCATGAAGCTATGTTGACAATCATTATCATTCAAGGTTTACAATTTATACTAGGATTCGCTTGTACATTCTGTGGGTTTCAATAAATTAGGACATGTATCCATCATGTATAGGCATACAGAATAGTTTCACTGTCCTAAAAATACTTTGTTCTTCCTATTTGTTTTTCTCCAAACTAAATCCTGAATTCCATATTTTTTAATATAAGAAAGTTTTGCATTTCCCAGAATATCAGATACTTGGAATCACATAATATATAGTGTTCTCAGATTTCCTGGAGCAATAGCACAGCGGTAGGGCATTTGCCTTGTGCATAGCCAGCCTGGCCGAGCCAGGTTCGATTCCTCCGCCCCTCTTGGAGAGCCTGGCAAGCTACCGAGAGTATTCAATATGCCAAACACAGTAACAAGAAGTCTCACAATGGAGATGTTACTGGGCCCACTCGAGCAAATCAATGAACAACAGGAGGACAGACAGACATTGAATCGATGAACTTCATAATATGCATCAATTACCTCTTCTTTTTTATTATAGCTAGTTTTTTCCATTTATAGTAACTAAAAATATTAAATTATTGAATGCATCACCTGGATGAACTAGTTTATTTATCCATTAACAAATTAAGGACAATGTTAACAGTTATGAATATAGAAAATAAATTTTATTTTTTAAGAATATCCTACATTTGTCAGAACCTATTGAATACTTTTTGCTCCAAAATTTCTTCATACATGATCCAGGCTATTTTCACAAACTAACAAATATCTTTTAAAAAAAAATCAGTGAGGGTAGGGATGCAGGAGGGAAACTGGGAACATTCTTGAGGGGAAATGTACACTGGTGAAGGGAAGGTGTTGGAACATTATATGACTAAAGTACAATCATGATAAACTTTGTATCTCACTGTGCACTGTGATTAAATTAAAAAATTAATTTAAATTTTAAAAATCAGTAGATGCAAAAATAAATCAATAAGGCAACAAAATAATAAATTAGCCTCTGAGTTGTGAAGTTTGTTGAGTGGGGAAAAGAACTTATTTCTATTTGTACATACCCCTTTCATTATTAGAAAAGTAAATACTGAAGAATCCTGACCGGTGGGCACCACAACACTGGAGAATGCTCTGGGCCCCAAATTGAGCCGAATCAACGAGGTGCCCCAGATGAAGCAGGTGCAGTCTCCCGCCTTCTTCAGATGGAATCCCAGAGACCATGAGCTTCTACAAGCATGACTCCGGTATGTGGGGACCAGGAAAATTTCTCTGAACCATGTGACCTTTCCTGATACACAAAGTGAGCAATGGAAAATAGATGATCTAGCATCTGCCCCTAGAAGGCAGACTTGAATGGTGGTCGGAATATCCAAGCAAAATATAATGCCTAAAACTGTAGCGAGAGTATCTGAAAAATTGTCTGCCGTAGAGTCAGAGAAAGGACTGAAATGGAAAAGGAGTGGATAATGGGGATATTGGTGGTGGAAAGTTTGCACTGGTGGAGGGATGGATGATCGATCATTATATTGCTGAATATCAAACATGAGGCTTTTGATAGAAATGTGTCCAGACCACCCCAGGTAGGAATGGGTTTCATTCCTTGGCCTGTTTCCCCTGGCAGTTTAGTCTAGAGACAGCCAGGGAGGAGCCCACAGAA